GAGAGAGAGAGAGGGAGAGAGAGAGAGAGGGAGAGAGAGAGAGGGAGAGAGAGGGAGAGGGAGAGGGAAAGGGAGAGAGAGAGAGAGCGCTCCTTGCCATGGACAGTATACACACTCCCAAAGACCCCCCTCCCCTAGCCACACCCTACCTACCTACAGTTTCCCCCAGTTAACCCACTAAAGTGACTTAAGGCACTGATTAGGTTAAGGCTCTCATAACCCAATCAGTTCACCCTTGGAATTTCTTGCATCGTCCCACCTGTGAGCTTTTGGGGGCACTTCATATCTAAACCAAAACAGACATGGGCTCACTAATTAGCCCAGTCTGGCCTCGAACTGGCAATCCTCCTGCCTCAGCCTAGCTGAGATGAGACTAGCTGGGATGACAGGCATGCACCACCACACTCAGCGGGTTTCAATTTTTTTTTAATATCTTTATTTTATTCTTACGTGGTGCTGAGGATTGAACCCAGGGCCCCGCACATGCCGGGTGAGCGCACTACCACAGGAGCCACATCCCTAGCCCCGGCAGGTTTCAGTTGTTAATAACTCAAGTGGTTTTGACTCAGGGGCTTCAGATCCCCACAGGAGAACATCCGCTCAGGACCTTGACCTCTTAGGTCCCCCTGTAATCTCCTGACCACCCCCCTCTCCTGTCTGCCCCCACTGGCCGCTCAGACCTGTTCACCTGCACCAGCCCAGAGGGAGAACGGGGACAGGAGAATTGGAAAATGGCACGACACTGGCTTTTTCTCTGTTGGGGCTTAAAACCAGGGAGCAAGGAGAGGAGGGGTCGAGGGAGCAGGGCCGATGATCGTGGACCCACAGGACCTGCAGCCCCAAGGTTAGGTTTGTAGCATCTGAGAATCTTGGATGTCATATAGAGTCACTAGTGTCCGCAGCAGACCCCTCCGCTTTCCCAAGGGTGTGGATGGTGGGACCCAGGGACAAGGACCTTGAGGGAATGACAGGTCCTTGGTTGTCGGGTCCAGGGTCTGGAGGAGGGCTGCCTGACGGCCTGCAGCCGGGCTCCAGAGAGCGTGCCAACCTCGGGTGTCAGCAACAGTGTGCCCAGCCAGGGAGGGCAGGAGGTCGCCCAGCACCCCTGCAGGGCCCTGCCAAGATCAAAGCCACCTTTCATCAGCCTGGCTTCCTGGCTGAGACTGAGATTGTCACCGGAGGAAATGGCAGCAGATAAATAAAATTCCAGGCAAAGCCCAGGGCTGAGCCAGGCCCTGCCCACGCTGCTCCTGTAGGTCACCGTAGCCCTGAAGGCTCCCAATTTGCAGGTGAAGACACTGAGGCTCAGGGACCAGTTACATGGTGAGACTGGGTTTGCCCAGGGTCCACCTGACACTGGAGTCCGTGGTGCGTCCCTAGCCGGGAGGCTGGGCCCTGCCATTAATGCTCAGGGTGTCCCACTTGAGCTCTGGAGGTGCCGGTCATTCCACATGGTCCCCAGGTGTGGAGGGGCAAGGTCAGGCTGCTCAGCTCCCCCACTCACCTCCCCACTCTGCCCTAGGTCTCTGCCCTTCCTGGGGGTCCTCACAGTGCTGGGGACCGGCTTCGGGGCCTACAACATGGCCATGGCTGCGATGAGCCCCTGCCCGCTCCTGCAGGGCCACTGGGGCGGGGAAGTCCTCATCGTAAGTATCTGGACGTGGTGCCACAGCCCTCCTGCCCTCACCTCTAAGCCAGCCCGGGGAACCCCAAGGACACCCCTAGTGACCAAAGTCTTTGCCCTTGTCCTCTCCAGAAGCCCCTGGTGGGAAGGTCCCCTTCTCATTGGAAAGTGGGGCATGGGGGAGGGGTGGTGGTCCAGCCTGTGCCCCCAGTGCTACCCTGCGACCTCGTGGGCACCACCAGTGGCCTTGGCGCTGATGCTCCTGACCTGATGGTGGAGTGGGGAGCCGCTGGGTTCTCCTCTGCCCTCAAGGGGTCCCCTGACTGGGCATCCCTGAGCCCTGTGGGGTCACCCCCACAAGGGTGTCCTTGAACTCCCAAGCCATTCCACCGTTTCCCTTAGCTCTGTGCGGTCACCCTGTGAGCACTCCGGACCCCGGGGCTCACTGTCGCTCCCTTCCCTGCAGGTGCTCTCCTGGGTGCTGTACACGGCCCTTCTCAGCTACGTCAAGGTCATGCTGGGTGTGATCCTGCGCGACCGGAGCCGCAGCGCCCTCTTGTGGTGCGGGGCGGCGGTGCAGCTGGGCTCGCTGCTCGGGGCGCTGCTCATGTTCCCGCTGGTCAACGTGCTGAGGCTCTTCTCCTCGGCGGACTTCTGCAGCCTGGACTGCTCTGCCTAGGCCGTCGGGGGTGCCGGGCCCATGGCAGGGAGCCAGCCGCGCCTGAGACTTGCAAACTGGGCTTCAGACAGCCAAAGGGAGCGCCCAAGGGCACAGAGCCAGGGGTGGGGAGCTGGGAGGCAGAGGCTGAGCCTTTGAACCGTGAACACGAGGGATTGGCACAGGCCTTCGGTGAGACCTGGAGTCGCAGGCCCAGCCTTGCCTCCAGCTCTAATGCGGTGCCTGGGACCCACTAGTTCCCAACTTCTTCTCTTTGCATACTGAAAGCTCTAATTTGTACCATGCAGCTGGAGACCGGCCCAAGAATGTCAGAAGGGAAACGGCTGGGAGGTGAGCTGCACTTGCAAGCTGTGTGATCTTGGGGAAGTCATTTGACTTCTCTGTGCCTTGGTTTCCTCATCCATAAAAGGAGGATTATGAGAATAGCTCTTACCTGGCGTGCCTGGCACAGGGACGAGGCAGAAGTGCCCAGCATGTAGCAAGCTGTCCTGAGAGACTTCATGATCGAAACGTGCAGTCCTAACAAGACTCCACCTGGAGGTTGCCAGAAGGCTTGGATTCATACAGCAGCTTCTTCAAGACAGATGGCGGGGCAGGACCCAGCGCAGCCGGCTTTACCTTTCCCAGTGTGCGTCCCACCGGCCCCTTCCTGTCCCCCTCCCTGGGTGGTGGGGCCCTGCCCCTTGGAGTGTCAGTGCCCTCCTGAGTGTCAGGGAGATGACTTGGTGGGACCCCACCCCCGGCCTCTGAAAGTGACCCCACCTGGCTGCAGACTGGACAGCGAGGCGCTTCAGAAGCAGCGGAGCCCGAGGGCGACAGGCGATGGTCATTGTGTTACTTTTTGTTTTTCTGTCCTTTTGCTTTTCTTTTTTAATAAAGACATTCCTTGATTTTACACTCACATCAGCTTCAAAGGAGAGAAGTCCAGTGGGAACCCCCACCTAAACAAGGGGGAGGGGTATCAATATCATCAGTTTTCAGTCAAGGCTGAGTTCAGAGATGAACAGAATCAAGTACAGAAGAGGGCGTGGCCCTGGGATTTCTGTTCTGTACTGTTTGTCTGTCTGCTTGCCAACACCACCACACACTTCCTCCAAATTTATTTTACATAGTGTCACTACATGTTTCAAAAATCAGAAAGTAGACAGGGTTCTGTGGTGCTCACTGTCACCCAGCAGCCATCTGGGAGGCTGAGGCAGGAGGATGGCAAGTTCGAGGCCAGCCTCAGCAATTGAGTAAGGCCCTGTCTCAAAATTAAAAGGGCTGGGGGTGCAGCTCAGTGATATAGCACCCTGGGTTCAGTCCCTTCCCTGTCCCTTCCCTGCATCTGCTCAGTTCCTGTTTTACACACACGTGTGCAATTGTGCACCCAAGCCCTTTTTTTAGTTCCCTGTTCCCCCCTTTCCCAAGACTATGCAAATGTAAGAAATACAAAGAGCCCCTCTTCTTGGACCTCATTTTACAGAAAGAGCAGCAAACTAGAGCGAATCTTATACTTTGCCATCAACGAAATAGAAACTTCCGGTCCTTCCTGGGGCTGCGTAGTGTTATATCAGACGCTGAGGTTAAGAGACCACTCTCCTCCCAACCCAGAAAACCTCTACAAAAGTAGAAGAGAAAGAAAGCATTTCTTTTTCCAGATGAGCTTTAACCTGACTGCAGAGTGTCGCCCAGGGAGCCCGCAAGAGGGTGCGGATGCAGGRGTGGCCCCCTTTCCTATGGCCAGGTGGGTACGGCGGTCACCAACAGTGACCAGTCCTCAAGCAAGGTGACTAGACAGCAGCATTGGTGACATTGCTCACTCTGAAGTCACGTGGCCCTTGGAGTGGCCCCCAGTGCCTGCTAATTTCTTTATCCGAAGGAAATACAAACTGGTAACTTTACGAGGTGGGTCTTGCAACCTGTCAGTTGGGCTGCTGCCTCCCGAGGAGGCTGGCAACAGAGTTGCTATGTTTCTTGATGTTTGTGACCTGGAGAACGGTGTCTGAGGCAGGCAGGTCCTTGGGAACGGTGTTTCTAGGCTGTAAATTGGCAAAGGCGTCACAGCTCATAAAAGGATTCACATACATCTAAAAGGGACAGAGGAAGGATTCACAGGTTTTCTACCATAAATACCCGTCAGTCAGCGAGTCAGCCTCCACCTCGACTACGGGATGATAAAAGTCTCCTTCCTGGGACCTGTAGGGAGTCATTGGACTGAGAGGTGAAAGTGCTTAGCACTGCACTGCAAACAGTAAGTGCTTAATACATGTCACGAGAGCTGCCACTTTGGGAGAATATCCACCCCAGTCCCCTGATGCCCCTGAGCTACACTCCTGCCCACTCTCCCTCTTAACTGAAGTCCAGCTTGGGGGCTGGCCCCAGACCAAGTGACCAGCCCAGCCACCCAGTGCCCTCACAGTGAGATCTCCGGGGCCTGCAGTCCCAGCTGCTCAGGAGGCTGAGGCAGGAGGATTCCTTGAGCTCAGGAGTTTGAGGCCAGGCTGGACAACAGAGCGAGACCCCATCTCAGTAAGTAAGTAAAACAAGAGTGAGATGGGACTCGGGGCTCAGCCGGGGGCTGGCAGGGGCCAGCTTCCCTGAAGATGCCCCCAACCTGGTGCCTGTGGCAGGCAGGAGGAAGGGAGGTGCAGCCGTGTGCGAGGGGCCTTCAGTGTGCAAATCACACTAGCAAGAGCCTGGGGACCAGGCGGCAGGGGCAGGCAAGCCCTGAGAAGAAGGCAGGTGGGGACCCAGGGCAGCCCATGGCCCCGAGCCTGGGGGCCTGGATTCTAGGAAATGGGGGGTGGGGGGCCTACGTGGATTTAGGGGAGTTGACATTCAAAGGGGCCGCAAGAGACATAAGCAGGCTCAGAAGCTGCCGCAGCCTCCTGGGAAGGACCCACGGAGCAAGGTACAGAAAAAGGACAAAGTCTTCCTCTACCCAGGCCCCACTCAGACGCTGAGAGAAGATGAGATGGAGAGTTGGGGGGTCCCAGCCCTGCCCCCAGAGACCACAGCCAGAGTGGCTGACATACAGCTGGCCACTAGAACACCCTGCGGTGGAAGACCCCAGGAGACAGTCCCCCCTGCCATTTTGCTGGGGTGACACACTAGAGCAGACTTTTAGAACTCCTGGAAGCCAGACCAGACCAGGGCCCGCCCATCTCCGGTGCCCGGGGAGCTTGACCCGGTCAGTCCTGGATTTGGGCGAGGCCACCCCTGCGCAGGAATCCTGGACCCACGCCCAGGTTCGCCCTGCCCCGTCCTTCCTTGCCTGGGCTGAGCCCTGTGCTGCCAGGGCAGACCACTCCCAGGGGCCTGTGGCTTGGCCTCTTTTTAAGGCTTTAGCCCATGGCCTGGGGCCTGCCTGTGGGTCCCAAGCCCTGGGAATGGGGGCTAGCACAGTGGGGGCCTCTGGGCTCCACGGGGGAGGGACCAAGTCTGGACTGTTCCCTCTCCCCCTGCTCCTGGGGCCCCGCCTCACCCTGAGAAAGTTTGACAAGGACATGCATGACCTGGTTCCCAGAACCCGTGGGTACGTGATGCCTTACATGGCAAGAGACTTTGCAGGTCTAAGCAATGAGCCCCTAAACGCAGAGGATCACGGGGCTCAGCAGGGAGGGGAGCAGAGGCGCTGCAGGCACCCGGGAGATGGCGGGGTGAAGGGTGGCATGCCTGCCTTTAAGGGGTCCAGGGACAAGACTGAGAGTGCCAGGAAGCCTCAGGAGGGGGATGACCCCAGACCACGGTCCTGCGTCTGCAGCAACTGGACGCCCCCACCCCAACAGCCTGAGAGAGCGCAGAAGCAGAGGGGACCCCGAGCATCTGGGGGGGGACACAGTCCTGACACTCCTGAGTGCAGCCCCCGAGCCCCGACCTGACTGCTAACCCCAGAACGAGGCAATAGGACACTTGCATTTGTCTAATTTTTATTTGTTTCTTTATTGTGAAACAGGGTCTGTATTATCTCTAGAGAGGGAGGCGGTAAGATAGCGCTCCCTGAATGCCTCCATGCTGTTCCCAAACACCCACCCAGTGAAGGGAAGGACGGGAGCGGCCGGCCAGAGGCTCCAGGGACACATGATCTTGAAGGACAAGGACTTTCTCTCTGCACCTGGGAACTGGGGCAGGTTCTTGGTATCAGCAGAAAGCTACTTTCTTTCTCGTGGGCCAGGACTGTCGCTCCTGGGGATGCTGGTCACACAGCAGATAAGCCAGTTAATGCTGATGACGTCAATCCTGCAGCCTAGCATGGGAAGTCCCTCTTGGCAGGGATGGAGGAGGAACTGAGGGCACCAGGATACTTGTCACGTGTCTGGTCTGTCACCCCGGGGCACACCACTGGAGCAAGAGAAGGTACAATCTGACATAGCGCAGTGAGGGACAGAGGTACTACCTGTCAGCCTGTGGCCACTGAACTCTCCTTGGAGCAGTCTTTGGTCTCTTGTCAGCTTTCCCCGTAAGCTGTTGTCGAAAGCTCAGTCCTTGTCCCCGATGCCGATCCAATAATGAGGACACAGTTTTGAGAAAAATGAAAAAGAAGCTTTGTTGCTTTGCTAGCAAAGAGAAACAAGGGGACTCCTGTCCCAGAGGCTATGATTCTGCCCATCAGCAGGAACAGGGGCTTTTAAAGAGGTGACTCCGGCTGCATTCCGTGTCTCTCTGGGGCTGTAACTCACTTGTTAGTTTGGGAGACAGTCATTTCTGAGATCTTCTGGTGACATCCCCAAAGTCTGGGTTCCTTCATTCCTATGAAGGGTGTGGACTCAGAGACAGATAACTCTGCCTGGGATGGGGAAGACAGGTAATCCTAATCCCCGGAGATTATAGAAGGGGAGAGGTTAGAGAGGAGCAGGGAGAGAGGAGGAGAAAGAAACGTCCATTTAAAAAATATGCAGCAGTGGCAGAGCAGCAAGGGCTGTATTCAAAACATAAAGTGGACCCCATGCCTTTCCCCACTGTCAACCTCTACATGCCATTTCTATGGAAAAGTGTCAATGGCGTCTCCAAACTGCTTCCTGCTGAAGGGAGGCAGTTGGGGGAAGTGACCCCAAAGTCCTTGTTCTCTGTCAGGTGGGGCGCGGACAGTTCAGGGCATTCAGCGGCAGAGCAGTCCAGAGGTCCACAGTGGCAGATGACAGGGGACTGGACAAGACATACAGGGGGTGGGGACCATGCTAAGACAACAATAAAGACAGCCAAGCATCCCATGTTTGTAAATAATTAGCACAAAAATAAGTAATATTTCAGCCAGTCTCTGAAAACCATGAGAACAGTAATTCATAATCTTATCAGTGAAAAGCAGGTCAAGTTCATCAATGTAGGAGGTTAGGAAGACTTGTAGGTCTAGGAAATTAGACTCAAATTAACTCAGGACAAATTTGCAACTCTTGTGGTCATTATTACTAGGCACTCTCACGTAAGAACCCTTCCTTTATAGCCTCCGGCTTTACTTACTTTTGGTAGGGCTGACACGGTGTACCTCTTAGGTTACATAAAACAAACAAACAAACAAACAAAAACCATTGTTTTGCCTTTTAAATTTCCATGTGGAACTATGCTCAGGCTGTCTTCTCCTTCTAGTTGTTTCAGAACAAGTTGGTCACATTGACCTTGTTTCTATATACTTCTTTTTTGTGGGGGAGGTTACAGGGATTGAACTCGGGGGCACTCGACCACTGAGCCACATCCCCAGCCCTATTTTGTATTTTATTTAGAGACAGGGTCTCACTGAGTTGCTTAGCGCCTTGCTTTTGCTGAGGTTGGCTTTGAAGTTTGGATCCTCCTGTCTCAGCCTCCTGAGCTGCTGGGATTACAGGTGTGCATCACCACAC